TCTTTGCTGTACAATACGTCCAGAGAGAGTCAGGTGGCAATGAGAGGGAAGGAGGTAATTAAGATAATCACCACTCAACAGGTATATTTATAAACTTTTGGCTGAGTGGTCTTTATGAATCAGTATGACTTGGGCATGCTACTTTTATCAAGTTGAATTTCTCAGGCGATTTCGGAACTATTTTGGAAAAGCTAGATATAAAGTGTTTGAAGTTGACCCCTCAAAGTATTGTTTGGAGCTTGAAACAAAAATAACACAAAAGGAGGAAGTAATTTTTTAGACAAAACAGAGAGCAACTGTATATTTTAATAAAGAGGGCAATATAATCCCGCTCACTCAGAATTTGATTCATTATTGATCATATATGGAAATAGTACAATTTCTGAAAATGTTCATTTAGCTTTTAAACATAACATTGTTTGGTATACACTGTGAGTACCTGACAATCTCTTTAGAACTTTTACTTTTATTCTTTTTCCAATTCAACAAAATTTTAATTAAAGCATGTAATTATTAAAGAGTTTAAAATAGCTTGTATTTCTACCAGAAACTGTGCTTTCTTGTTATTGATAGGTCTACTCATTACTCTGGTGTAAGTATGCTTTGTGGTATGCTGTACACATTTTTATTCTGTTACCATACAAATATGCTATGATGTCTTTTATATAATTCTCCTTTACCCTTCTATGTTTGTCCATTAGTAAACAGCACCTATCCAAGGACATGAATAAAACCCAAAAAATAGATATGCATCTGTAGCAATAATTGAGGGCCACTGAAATGTCATTTTCCTGATATATGACCTTAGTTTCATCACAATTAATATAACTGTTTATTAATATACAATTAATACAAAAACTCTTTCAATTTTTCTAAACTCAAACCATTCTGCACATGTTGTTTAACAATTTATCTTGAACTCAGGGAACTATATACTTTGAACAACAACATGTACAGTTTGGAATTAATTTTGGGGTCATATGGGTTGCAAGACTTCGAGAACATTTTTCCTATTGTAACTCATCTCTTCATTTGTCCTGTATCTACACTAAACTATTATGTTATTGGTAAAACAGAAAATTTGTAGAATAGTCAAACAATGACAGTTTTCTTTTGTAAGTTCTTTATAAGCATCAATTTAGTGGGCCAGAACAGAGCTGCCTTTCCCTTTCTATGTTTGTCCATAACTCTTTTAAGCCGTTCTGCAGTCTTCAAATCAGAATAATTTTCAATAGGCTTTCTTTAGTTGCTGCACCAACTCTGAGTAACCATATCTTCTTAGCTATAAGCAACATTTCCAATGAAATGGCAACAAGCTGTAAGATTTGGTATTCAGACTGATAAGAAATCTAGTATCCTTTCCCAAACAATCAATAGATGTAGTCTCCTTATTCACAAGAAACAAACCATTTTAAATAGCAAGCATGCAAGAAAAAAGTAGCAGAAATACAGTGCCCTAATTTATCTATACAGTATGCAGATTTCTCATCTGGAATTAAAGTGCTTGCCAGCATTGCTGCTACCTTAACCTTCCTTTTAAATAAGAGCTCTGAGAGAATGGATAATGGAATTAACTGTGTCCATTCCAGGTGATCACAGGAGAAATCTGACATAAACAAAGCAAAGCAAAACACAGTATTTCCAAATTCACTATATTCAAATCAACAGTCCAAGGTAGGCTGGGTTAAAACGTCACCATAATTGGCCACATGCTGTTGCAGAAAGTACTTTGGATTGGCTACATAAGACTATACTTTCCTTTAAGACTGTATCACACTTAAGGTAAAGTATTAAAATAAGTAGGTACACATATTTCATGCAAAAGACCAGGACATTATATCCCTTGACCATTTTCCTTATCAGACTCACTTTTATTGGACAATTTCTCACATACCCTCCACCACCACCCCACCAAAAAATGGCCCTTTGCTTTGTTGATCTTTCTGATAAATCCCCCCCCCCCGGTGCTTATGTTATTTCTGAACATCTTGGCTATATTTATGTCATTGTCATAAATCATTTTAGCCATTGTCTATCCATTGCAGGATGAAGGACTCTTCCACATGTTTCCAGCCCATACAGTCCTGAGCTTTATTTTGGGCCTGCAACACTTGTTGATGCATTAATGTCATATTGGACTAAAGGCCTTAAAAACTAGCATTTTTGCTTAGACACCATTAAAAAACAGAATAAAATATTTAGGCCTTCATACACATCAATTTTTCCTGTAAAACTATTCTCCCATATCAGTTTTGTACACCGTGTTTTCCCCACGAATATGATTGCTCTCCCTACTTGTCTCCTTGTTGAATTAAAGCTCTTCCACCTTATAGCAGTTGGCATCATGGTTGGTTTCTCACTTGCTTCAGATGTAGTCTGGATTTCATGTCTCAAATATAGCTAATTTACATGGAATCCCTCTTTAATTTGCTTTCTCCTGCAACAGGAATAATCCACTTCAGGCAAACCTTCTTTAAGAGGCTCAGTGAGGAATGCTCAAGTCTGCAGAATAATGAATTTTTTTAAATGAATGTGATAAAAATACTTTTTCTTTCAACCAAAAGAGTTCGGTCAAAGTGGGAGATATGGCTACATCACTATATAATAATAGAATATTAGGCTACACAGGCTTTTGGTCTGATACAGAAGGGCTCCTCTTACGTCTTTATATGCAGTATTAGCTGTGCAAAGGTTTAAAGCTGTCTGAAGATGAGCTATTCTAGCTCAACAACTGACCTTCCTCTTCTGCAGAAGCTAACAGTGTTCCTTAATGAGCTACTGCTTGACTTCTATGGATTGAAAAAGAACAAGTTATCCTTGGACGGAGATGAAGAAGATAATGTCCTCGGGCTGAAAATCCAAAAGGTATTATAGTTTGTATCTTGTTCACATCTAAATTATGCCTGGGGCAGAACACTATTAAACACAGAGACAACTGTGTATGTACTTTCATCATAAATGTTTGGGCAGCGACTTCAAAGAGCTGTGTTTTATGCAGAATGAAACAAGAAGACATTCGCTTTTGTAAATGATTCATACAGCAATTTTTTGACTGTTCAGTTGCATTACTGCTGATATAAACTTTCTCTCAGACCTGCGAATCCCTACCTTTCTATAATCCCAATGTCTTGGGGGGTAGATATTCCTGTTACTCTGAACCATCCTAGATCTTTCTTTCCTAATTAAATGTCATATAATGTTTTATATCTGTATTTGGGAAAGGAGTGTACCAAGGTTGCATGCTATCACTATATTTCTTTAACTTATGTACAAAATATATCAGGAAAAATGCTGGATTAGAAGAAATAGAAATTGGAATTATAATTGCTGAGAAGAATAACAACCTCAGATATGCTGAGCATATCCCTTTGATGGCTAGAAATGAAGAAGAATTAAGGACTCTTTTACTAAAGATGAAAGAAGACAACACAAAATCTACTCTACTGCTCAACATAAAACCAAAACAAAGCTTATGTCAGCAAGGCCAGCCCAATGAAAACAGGTAAAGAAGTTGTGTTTCAAAGGTATCAAAGAATTAACCCCCTTAAAAACCTATGTACTACTAAAATTCTCATGCGAGTTTGATATGTTATAAATTTTAATTGGGCAATAACTGAGCATAGGGCAAGCTTTGTCAACAAAGGTACCTCAAATGGACTTAGAGATTGCTAGGGCACATTACTTGATAAATTGGTTGCTGCTTCAGTGACATAGCACAGCTCCTGCTGTGAGGTGATTGCAGATGATCCTCATTTTCAATATTCCCTGAGAGCTTCCCAAAAGTCAATGGAGGAGAACCAGGAAGGAATTGATACAATAAATGACACTCCTTGCCATCTCCCCACTAGTGCTTTCATTGCTTACGGGAAAGTCATGGGGAGAAGGTCAATGGAAAAACGGCACATCCTCCACCAGTTCCTCTGAACTCGAAATATCTTGCACCCTCCTCATCTGATTCAAAGTGGTAACCACATTCTCTCTGATTTCAGCTAATCAGGCTTTGAGAGAAGTGTGTCATTCAATATTGAGAAACCACTTTTCTACATGAAAGTGAAGGCTGTATTGTAGAACACAAGACCCAATCCATTATAAATATCTACATTTTTTATAATAGAAATAGAAATGCATTGACTATGCTGTTTTTCATTTGTTCATGTATTCAAATGTTCATGTTCAACAATTTTTAGAACTGTATTGAAAGTATGCTTGTAAATATCAAGTGTAATGTATATCAACGTACTCATCTGATAGACACATACCACACACACACACACGCACACACACAAACAAACATATACATACATACATACATACATACATACATACATACATACATGCATACATACCAGTGGTGCTATTCTACTGGTTCGTGCCGGTTCTGGTGTACCTAAGATCAGCGGAGACCAAACTGGTTCTCTCTGATGAGCTGCTCTTGGGCCCACCCACCTGCCCAGGCTCCCATACTGACCTTTATTTCCTGCTTTTGAAGTGCAGCTGATTTGTGCAGCACAGCAGATTGCCGCGCATCAGCTGTTGAAGCTACAGGGAGAGTGCAGGATTGCAGGAGGTGAGTAGGAAAGCCTCTGCGCGTATGCAAAGTGTGCATCTGGAGCATGCGCACAAATTGCGCCCACCAAGCTACACCCACTGAACCAGTGGTAAACCACTTTGAAAACTACCACTGATATGCATGTATGTATGTGTATATATATGTGTGTGTGTATGTGTGTGTGTGTGTGTGTGTGTGTGTTCATATTATATGAAAAGTTGAGGATTATTGCCTGGCTGAAGCTATTCTATAAATTCTTCAGAATCAAATCTCTACAGCTTTAGTTCCCTGCTTTTTTTTTTTACTGTGTTATTAAAAGGAAGGAGCCAGTATACATTCAGTATGCATTTGATTTGTTGGTTACTACGTTAGGAAGCTGATTCTAAGATAATATTTTAGGATCGTTTCATCATCGGAAAACATAGAACAGGGACAGAAACAAACATATTACCTGCACATTTGGTTCGGGTAATCAGCGGAGGGCCTGGCTGACCTGTGCCGCCTTCTCCAGGTCTGGTTAGAAGAACACGAATCTCATATTCTGTGTCTGGGTCCAAATGCCATAGCTTATATGTCGGTGCATTGACCGCATGCGTTTCTGTCCAGGTCCCTGTTGTCATATGGTATTCCACCTCTTTTAGGATGATAGGTCCATCCCCAATAATGGAATTTGCATTCAGCTGAATGAGCAGGTAAGTCGGTCCAACTCCAAGCAACTGTGGGGGAGCTATTGGTCTAGGAGGTTCTGTAAGATAGAACAAAAGCCAATTGTGTAAGAAAGATAATAAAACAGTAAGATAGTAAGCAAAAATCAAGTCAGAAATCAGAATCATAAAGTTTGCACAACAATGATCATTCTAAGTAAATGGATGAATATTTAAACATAATTTAATTTTAGATTTAGAAAGATTATTATTTAATTTATTTGCTTTCTAAAGCCATCCTTCTCAACAAATGATTTTTATTGTTCTTAGCCAATAATATATAGGTGTATATGCATGTATAGATAAACTTAAAAGTCCAATAAAAATAAAATACAACCTCTGATTTCCTGCAGATGAGGAGAGAGACAGAGAGAGAGAGAGAGACAGAGAGACAGATTTATTGATGGAAAAATTAAGGAAACACATACATTCCTAAGTAGAATGAACCCAATAAGAGGGTTCATTTTTCATTGCAAACATTTTCCAATGCAATTATGCCTAAAGCTAAAGTCAAGGTAAACAGGACTTTCTCCTTTGGATGGACTACAACAAAGCAACTTCCAAAGCTGAAGAATTCACTAAGCAAAATGCCTAGCCTATAACAACTATTTCCCAAGTCTGTTCTTTCTCTTGGAAAAAAAGAGAATGCCACGGAACATTAAGTAGCTGCTTTATTTTATGTGGAAATATCATGGAACATTAAATAGTTGTTTTCTACAATATTAAAAAAGGAGTTCCAGTGCTGCCTTGTGAAATCCACCATGTCAGAGTAAAGCATCAAATTAGATGTTTTCTTTTTCCTGTAGATTAAATTTATCAAAGTTTCACAGCTGCCTGGCCACCATTTACACTATATACTGTTTCAGATAATGATGATTACAAGGTATGTATGTCTCTAGATTTTTAATACCTAGCATATTCTATCTAACATCCCATATGATTTCAGTGACAATTTTCTACTGCTATTGTGAACAAGACATTTTACTTGTTTATCATCAGCACATAACTTTTACAGTCATAGACATACCTGGAAACAAAGAGGGTTTTCTATGTTTTTACTGAATCAAAACAACATCAAGACAAATATTAAAACATAGAATTTTAAAAAAATGATATAAATGAGTAAAGAAACAGAAAAAAGAGACACACAAGGGGATAGAAGGGAAGTATCTGGAGGCTGCGGGACTTGTATGGGGAGAAAAAGATTCAGGGTCAATCCTACTAAAACCAAATAGCTGTGGGCTTTGGGTCCTGTTGGATCTGGACATCTTTGCTAGAAATGGATGGGATTTTATTTTCCAGGTAGAACTGGATTCTTCTAGTTTCCTGCTCAAAGAGCAAGTGGCCCCTATGATGATGAGAATTTTTGCACAAATTCAATTTCTGTACCAATTGTGCTCATTCCTTGATTGGAAAATCCTGCCTTCTACTTTATCAGGCAGATTTGGCATGTCCTGGGCTCTATTAGTTAAGTAACGTCATCCCATAAGACCTGAGAAGTGTGCTTCTTTTGGCACTACACTAGATAACACTATCTTCAAACAACAAAACAACACGTCTACACATGGATGACATCAGATGGAGCACACAGAAATCAAATTGACTACATTATTGCTAAAAGAAGAGGGAATAACTTGATTATAGCATCAAAGGCATGACTACATACTGAACTGTGGAACAGATCATGAAATATTCATGTGTAGTTCCAAGTTACGCTAAAGAAGAAGAAACCCAACCAATTTCTATGATATAATCATTTTCAAGGACAGTTTCAGAAATCACTTTAAAATCCTGAATCTCATTGACAGAGAGCCAAAGGAATTATGGAATTAACATAAATAAGTTATTAAAGTTTGATTTGTTGAGAGACTGCCAAACATGAAGAAATAGAAGAAAGCAAACTCCCTTCCTGTTTCTTCCTTCCCATCCACCTCCTTCCTTTCTCCCTATTTTTCCCTTCCTCTCTCCTTCTCTTTCCAGCAGATACATAAGTGGCTGATGCTAGGTTAGGAAGGACACAAAGGATTGTGAAACTGGCTGGACACTGTCACAAGAAATGAAGAAAATGAAGATCATGTGACTACAGCAGTAGCCAAGCAGCACAGCAACAGCCAATAGCAGTGAACCAAAGTTTCCCAACTTTCTCAAATTTCACTCCATTGGAAGTCATGGGTCCCAGATTTTAGATACATTCTGTAAGCCCATTCAAGATATCTTGGTACAAAAATTGCTGCCCAATGCATTCCTTTGCTCAGGTAAGGGTTATAATGAGAGTTTTAGTGCTATTGAAGGAATAGACGACAAACAAATCAGCAATATTTTTTTGCCAGGGTATATTAACCATCCTATAACATCTGGTATTTTATGAAGGATAATAGACTGCTTATCTGATAAAAGATAAGAAGCATAAAAATCACTCAAATGTCTAGGAAAAGATAATAAAATTATTAAACCTGCTAAAGCTGCAGCTAAATTATATCTCCACTCTGAAGAAATATGAGTATGTCCTCTGCAAACAGATTAATTACATGATGCTTTGTTTTTATATTAGGATAAATATTTTAGCTGTTCAGAATATTCTGTGTTAACCCTTCTATAATGAGATCAAACAAAACAGAAATAAGGTATTTATTTGTTAGGTGGATTTGTTAATTTGTGGATTTGTTAAGAGAAAAATGTATATCCATTAATGCTATTTACTGCTCAGGAATATACACAATTAGTTATGCAAATAAACTTAATACTTAAATCCCCTTTCCAATAATAATTTTTCAAGAAATGTAATTTCATTTCCATCAAATACTTCAAAATATCTAAAGGCTTCAGAATGGAGTGTTAATATATTTGGCATAATTTATTACACTGAATTGAAACAGGAGTCTTCTAAATCTTATTTGGGTTAAGAAGAATCACAAGTCTTTGCCTTCAATAGAAAAAGAAATGAATAATTTCATAAGAAATTCACTGCAAGTAGATGAAGACTTTCTTGTGATGAAATACATGGATGTTTACATTTTGCTTTAGGCTTGGTGTTCTGATTTATTAGTATTATGAGAACAATTATTAAATGCATATTATTAATAATCTAATGTTTTTTGGGTCAGACAAGTTAGTAAGGGGGATAGCCAATGGAGCCAGACGAGGAATGAACTTGGCCTAGGCAATAAACATTACCATGGGTTCCTTGGTGCTGATTAATTGATGCTGAGCATCACTGTGATAAGAGCCAGTATGTGTGTTTAGGTTAAAAGGTTGGAGTGAAGAGACCCAAGTTCTAGTCCTCCTAGACAGCTCATTGAATGTCTCTGGGCCAATCACTGTCTCTGATTTGCCTCTTAGAAACACAGAGAGAGAGAAAGAGAGAGAGAAGGAGGGGAGAAAGAGAGGCAGGCAGGCAGAGGGAGAGAGGGAGAGAAAGAAAGAAAAGAAAAAACACCTATTACCCTGAAAGAATATTGAAGAAATTGGACTGCATGTGCACATTATGGTACCTTGTCTTTTTTTTTTTCAATTATTCTTATTTCATTAGATAAAAGAAATGACTGTTTTTCAAATAAAAATATTTCAGAAAGCTTCACATGGATGGAAGCAGGGCTCTTAAATCTGCCTTTATTCGAAGGTGGTCAAGGATTTTGGGATTTGTGTGTTTGTATGTGAATGAGGAACAGAGTGAATCATAGAGAGAGACATCTTCTTGTCTCTTGTATCATCTTCTTTCCACAGCATTTCTGGCTTTCAAACAATCGGAATGGATTGCCTTCTATGAGCTTTTTAACAGAACACAGATTCACACTTTTTCACTGCCTATCAATTTCATCAATTCAAAAGCAACAAGACAGGAAGAGAAATAACCTAGGGGGAATGTAAGAATTGATTACATATGTGAGGAAGTATAGTAATGAACTGGCTATTCGTCAAATTTATCAATCAGAATTTCCTATTAAAACTGAAACAGCAGGCTGAAATTCCAGACAAGCAGAGAAAATGGGAGGAATAAAAACCCCTGTTTCTTTCCCTCAGATCATATGGTTTATTGAACAGAAAACTTAATATAGTTATTATCATAATATAAACTCATGTCTCAAAAAACAAGATTTTCATATGATTCCTTAACAGTTCATATTCCTGAGAGTACGTACTCTCATTTCCCATGTCCATTTTAATTTGCTCCATTTTGCAAGCTTTTAGAAGAGTATATAAAGTTTAGAAGTTGGGCTTTTAAAAATGGTAATATTGATTTTTAAAAATTATAATATTGAATCTTATTGAAAAAAGCTATGAATTATCAAAGCTAATATATCGCTGCGTACAGGTTTTTTTTCTTGGGCTAAAAGCAAAGCATATACGTAGTTGTATATATATTTATTTTCAGCCTCCTGAAGATGTTTATAAAGGGAAGCAGGATAAAATCCCTTCATGTACCCGTAAATTATACATTATTTTTAACTAGTTATCAAATTAAACAGCAATTCTTTTGCAGCATCATTAATATTCTTCATAACACAATGTACTGTCAGAGCCACAGAAAGGATGCAGCTGTCAGCCTTCAAGATTTTTCTCCCTTTGCTTTGCTTCTTTCGGCTGTCATAAGTAATGGGGGGAGGAGGGGGGAATGATTATGGGAAGTGAGCTGGAGCTGTTACAAACCAGAACTGTATAAGCTGGGGGGGGGTTACATTCTTGCTTAGGTTTCTATCCTATTCTATGCCCAGCTGCAACCCTTTATCAAACTGTGTCAAGGTCAACGGACAGAAGCCTTATCATCACCTGGAGATGCCCACATGATGAAATACACAACTTTTAATTGGATGAGCCAATTGAACTATTGGGGGTGGGAACGTTGCTATTACTTTGTATATGTGATTTACGTGCCCATTTTCTCAGATTCAGAATTCTTTTGTTGCTACCACTTGATTTCCAGTAAAAGATATCTTTTCTCTGATTAAAAGAGTCTAAGTATTTCTTTCTTGGATTTTGAATGGAGCACCAGCTGACAGCAGCTTCCCAAACTATACTAAATGACATGGAGTCCCAATGTCCC